GAGCGAGATTCGACGCGAGCGCGAGGCTGCTGCGCGGAGGCTGCACGTGATGGAGGTGAAGGAGCGGCCGAAGCCGCCCACCAACAAGAAGGTCAAGGTGGCGTCGGGCCGGGCACGGCAGACCGCCAGGAAGGCGCTGAACCTGCCGCTGCATATGCCGTTCTCGGTGCCTGGGGGGCTGGGGATGGTCACCGGCATGACGATCGCCATGGAAACATCCACCAATGCGGCGCAAAGTAAGCAACACTCGACACATAGCAAGTATTGGACGGAGTCGACGACCTCATATTAATATGTGTGTGGCCCACACCCTGCCCTGTGTGCTGTGCAGCTCCTGCGTCCCAGGGTGCGGTCACAAGTGGCCCGGCCCCCCCGGCCCAGCCCCCTGCTGGCCCTGGGAACGTCCCGCCGGCGGCCCTCTCGCCCAGCGTCCATCTGGACATCATGGGCACAGCCGGACCACCCCCAAGCACTGCTGCAGGCGCAACCACTCAGGTCAGCTTGTCTTGTCACCGAGAGAGAGGAGAGGGAGGGTGAGGGCTTGGATGCGTCTGTCTGTTTGCCGTCCGTCTTGTGGCATTGGTATGTGTGTGTGCAGGGTGCTGCGCCTGGTGGAGGTGGAGGTCCCCTGCTGCCCCCTCCCCTCCCCCCAGGATTCCTCTTCCCGCAGGGCCCCCCGCCGCCCTGGCTGCAGCAGAACATCAGCAACCTGATCCAGCAGCTGTCGCTGCAGAACCCCCAAAATATCTCCATCACCTGGGGCACCGGACCCCCACCCTTCATGCCCGGTGGCATCCCCGGCATGCCCGCAATGCCCGCACAACAGATACCGCTGGGACTGCCACCACCACCACCTGCAGCAGCAGCTGACGGCACGGCCTCGACACAGACACAGACAGGTTCTCCCGCCACGGGCGCACCTCCAGCTGCGGCGGGAGCCATCATGGGTCCGCCCTTCACGGTGCCCTTGGGTCCGCCGGTTGGGGGCCCCCCATTCCCCCTCCCTGCTGGCCTCCCGCCAGCCGCATTCCCACCTCTCCCAAGCACCACTCCACAGACGGCGGGGGCCCAGACACAGGTGGCCAGCCAGCCGGGGACAACCGCGGCAGGCACCACTGCAGGTGGCACCGAAAGCGGGACGAGCGCGGCCACCACCACGGCTGGGGCGCAGACCGGACAGCCCGTCGGTGAGCAAGGGGCAGCAGGGAGGGAGGGAGAGAGGGAGGGAGGGAGGATGGGTTCAGTCCAGTCACACAGGTCAGGTGTGTGCCACTGCTCTGCACTGCACTGGTCGTGTGGTGTGTGTCCACCAGGTGAGGTGTGGTCGACAGGTTGGACGACGCTGGGTCCGCCGATGATGATGGACGACTACATGGATCCTGAGGCGGAGGCCGCCATCGAGGAGGGCGGGCTCGACTGGGACGGACTCAACTCCTCATGGGCTGGCAACTTCAACTCGCTCCAAAACGTCACACTCAATGCTCTAGAAGGTAGGTAAAAGAAGAGCGAAGCGACCAGCCCAAGGGGAGAGGAGAGGAGAGGTGCTGGCCATGGGGATGTGTGTGTGTGTATGTGTATGTGTGTGGTGGTGAATAGGTCTTCTGGAGGCGATGCCGCCCGAGGTGCTCGGCACCGCCGCCACTCACACACAGAGCGCACCCACGTCGCCCACCAATGGTCAGCAAACTGACGGGACGGGAGGCACGAACGTGAGTGAAGCCTCCCTCACCGTGTTGATGTGCCTGCCCTGCTGTTCAGTGGCTCCCTCGACCGGTGCGGCGATGGCAGGTCCCAGCGCCCCCTCCAGCCCCATGTCCGGCCCCAGTGCGGGCACCACCACCATCACGGGCAGCGCCACCGCCCCCGCCCCTGCCCAGGGGCTGCTCTCTCAGCTCCAGTCGCTCTTCCACCTCCCAGGGATGGGCGTCACCCCCCCTGCACCCCCCCCCACCGCACCGGTCACTGCTGGTATGTATGCTGACAACCAACTAGCACACAAGTGGGTCTGTCTGTATGTGTGTGTCTGGTGGTTGGTTGTCACGTCAGGCCCATCGGGTGGTGGTGAGGAAGCGTCGACCACCGATGGTGCCGGTGCCGGTGCCACCACCACGACGACCACCCTCAATGCCACGCCGCCCATGCCATACGGGCCGGGCTTCGTCCAGGTCATGTATGGCACCACAACTGTACCCGTATCAGGTCAGTCAGGTACACACACAGAACAGAAAGAGAGACCGACCGGACCCATCGGGTTGGTTCCTTCCTTGTCTGTCTGCAGCAGCGGCAGGTTTGGTTGCGAGCGGTGGTGGGGGCGGAGGCGGCGGCGACGGCGACGGTGACGATGGGGACGAGGACAACGACAACGACTGGGACGCCCTGCTCGACGAGGTGCCGACAGGCCCTCCCGTCCCGCCACAGTCGGACGAGCAGCAGGCACAGGAGGGCGGGGACGACACCGTGGCTGTGGCTGCAGAGGAGAGGGAGGAGGGGCAGCCTGAGGAGGAGAGGGAGGAAGAAAAGGACAAAGAGACCTACCACATCTACATCGACACGGAGGTAAAGCAGAGTAGTGAGAATGAAGACGTCTCCGTGGCGGCCCACCCCCCACAGTGGCCGCCGCCGCCCCCACTCGCCAAGCCCCCCGGGCCTTTCAACGGCGCCATGAGGATCGAGGACCAGGGCGTCCTCTCGGCCATGCTCCACGGCAGGCGGGGCCTGCTGTGCGCCAACCTCCCTCTCCCCCCCACCATCGCAGCGCCGCCCCACGTCCCCTCGCCGGCCATTGGCGTCATACCGGCCGACGACCAGCAGCGGCTTGCAGGCATCCTGCAGCTGGGGCTGATGCCTTTCTTGCGGCGGCTGGCGATTCTCTGCACCATCGCAAAAGTCTCCAGGGGAGGCGGGGAGGGGCAGCAGGGCGGAGGAGACCACCCTGACACGTACGTGGCTGGCTGCACAGAGCGCAACAACGTGTGGAATCTCGGCTGTCGACTTTTATTGCGTGTGTTTCAGGGTTGATGTCTTCGACGAGGCGTATTTTCTGCTGGGCAAGCCAAGCGACGACGACCCCCTGCGATCCACCAAGGTAAATAAAGTACACACAGACGCGCCCCAGCGACAGCTGCAGTGACAGAAGATCCCTCGGCAAACGAAGCGACCAGACCAGCCCCTCACACCGCATCTCTCTCCTCTCCTTGCTCCCTCTCTCGACTCATCAATCAGGAGCAGAGTGGTCAGGTGGCCGACGAGGTGGCCCTGCTGCTGGAGAAGTTCGCCCCCATGTTCGGCCTGCCCACGTCGCTCGACGCATTCCTCGCGCGCATCGCACAGCCCGACGACGACGCAGCCGCAGGCGCGTCGGGCGACGCCTCACCGGTGGGCAGCGAGGGGATGAGGAACGAGGACGACGAGAGTGCCGTGGTGGAGCCATCCGTCAAGCCCAAAACGGCGCTTGAAGCGGCGCACAAGCTCTTCAAATGGGTATATGGGAGAGGGAGGATGGATGGATGGATTGATCGCACGGTGTTGACTGTGTGTGTGTAGATGGTTCACCGTGTGGTTCGTCCCCTCGGTTCGTCGTGCGACATCCCCCTGACGGAGCTGCTGCCCTTCGTCCTGCCGCCGTCGGACGACCAGGGGCCAGAGGAGGCATTCGAGGCCTATATGCGGGCGTGCTCAGGCCAGCCGGAGCAGCCAGAGCCCGACTACAACGCACTCAAGGTCAGCCAGCCTGAGAGAGAGAGAGACAGCACCACACACAGATGGGCAGTCTCAATCCGTTTTCCTTTCTGATGTGTCAGAAACACTTTCGCAAGCACGGCCCGCCTCCGAATGTGAATCGTCCGTCGGCGGTGCGTGTGTGGGGGAGGGTGCACGTCGTCGGGGGCAGGCGACCGACACACGAGGGAGGCGTCATCAGGGAGCCGCTCGTCAGAGTCGCCAACCAGCAGACATTCAAACAAATCGTGCAGGTGGGGGAATGACATACACAGACAGACGGGGCGGGCACACTGCATGCCTTATTGCTCTGTGTGTGGTGTGTGTGTGTGTGTGTGTGTGCGCCAGCACTCTGGGATGCCGTGGGTCGACATGGGCACGATCGAGCCCCCCGCCCCGTCTGATTCGAGTGCTCCCGGGCCGTCGTCGCCGCCGCGTGTGCGTCTGGTGGTGGGGACGCACCTGCCACATCTGGTGCCCTTGCCGCAGCTCTACCAGACCCTCTTCACAAAAAACATACAGAGAAAGTCAGTGGAGTGAGCACAGACAGGGGAGGGATGAGTCCAACACAAGAATGAATCAATGGATGGATGGCTGTATGGATCGTCGTGTGTGCAGGCTGACCACCCCCACCGGCGAGCTGCACGTGTCGCGGCGCCCCGGTATCTGCCTCGGGTGCGGCACACGGCTGTGCTTCGACAAGTGCTGCGCCACCTCCATCGCCCGGCGAGACGACACGAAGCGGCCCCACTTCAGACACAAATCCATCATCAACGAAGTCAGTGAGATCTCCCCACACACAACACCACACAACCCTGAGAGCCAATCCATACCCACTCCCACTGCATGTGTGTGTGTGTGTGTGTGTGGTTGGATGCGATGCAGCACTGCTCGTCGTGTGGCGTGAGCAACATGATGCTGCTGGAGCTGCTGGTCTCGGTGAGCTACAACCTGCACCCGCCGCGGATTGCCAACTGGGGCGCCCTGCACCTCGACCGGTACGGCGAGGAGGACCGCAACATGACTCGCGGCAAACCTCTGTGGCTCAACTCGCGGCGGCTGACGCAGCTGGTGGGCGCCGTGACGCACCAGAACTTTCCCCTCAACGAGAAGGCCAACCCGCGGCTCGTCTGGGTGCACTCGCCGTTCGAATGAAGGCAATGCGGGGGACTGACTGACAAGACAACTACCGACGGCCGCCGCTCAGTGGGGAGAGTGGAGAGGGATGAGGTGTGGATGAGGAGGGGAGGGGAGGGGAGGGGTGGGTGTGGCGAATTAGGGTGTGTGTACCATGCATCCGTCGGTCCATCAGGTCCTTCTTCATTCTTTCCCTCCCTTGTTGTACCATGGCACTCACTCACTCACTGACTCACTGCTATACCTGCCTCTCTCTCTCTTCGTTGGTGTGTCAGTCAAAGGACGGACGGCGTATTTCAGCAATCATCCGTCTGTGTGTGTGTCTGCATGCGTGCGGGCGTGTGTGTGTGAGTGTGTGCGTGTCGTGTCGTGGGTGAGTATTTATTTATGACAAGAGACCTTCGACGAGTGAGTGAATGTTTGTGTGCGACAGAGCGATCTGTCATCTCCTGGTTGATCTGTTCACTGGCCGAGGCTACATAGAAGCCCACTCAGCCAGACAGGGCGTATTCACCTTTCTCCTTCACACATACGCTTTACAGCCCGACAGAGAACTGGGACGGGCTGGGGTCAACAAACCCTTCGCGGCTGGATTAGCTCGCAGACCTTTGCCCTTCAGGATGAACTTCGTTTCCGCTCCTCTTCTCATTATCGGTGTCCTGCGCAGTTGCAGTGCGCAGGGGCAGATATGGAAGGACGCCATCGCCCGTGCGCATGCACCCATCGCCAACCACTCGCTCACGCCGGTGATGAATCAAACAAAGCAAGCACACGCAGACGGATCCGCATTGCATTGGCATGAGCACTCTCTCCCTTCTTGCCGTGTGCCTCGCCTTCACTGCAGGTCGGCCCGTCTTCACTCGGCGTCGCAGATGAGGTCAGGCGGCTGGAGTCGTCGGCTCACGTGCGGGCCGTCGCCAAAGTGACTGGGGAAAGGGCGAGCGAGGTCTTCACGGGCGACGGGTGGATTGCTGAGCTGCCAAAACACGGCAGGAATGAGTCTGCAATGGCGAGCATCGATTTCATCTTCAAGAACATCAGGCCGACCAACAGAGTGTTTGTTGAGGTCGGCTTTCACGCTGAGAGCGGCAATCAATCCGACACAGATGAACTGCGAAGGTGAGAAAGAGAGAGTCTGAATGCAGACAGACAGACAGACAGACAGACAGACAGAGGCATGTGTGCTTGTGACAGGCAGAATTGGACTGGCGTGGTGCTGGATGCCGTCAGTCAGGGTGGCCAGAGCCGCAATGTCTCCTCCCCTGGGGTCATCAACCTGCACGACGAGTCTCGGCTGAATCACTCCCTCATTGACGTCCTCAAGAGTCACAGACTTCCGCACAAACCCGACTTTCTGTCCATCGACACGCGAGCCCTCGATTTGTTTCTCTTCCGAGCCCTCACAAACAGCTCTTACCCGAAGGCTCGTGTCGTCAAAGTGGCGTATAATCCGAATTTTCCTCTCGCCATTGCAGCCAGTGCTTCTCAAGACTACCAGTGGAGTAAGCAGACAGGTGCACTCACATCCATGAGGGAGACATCACTTTGTTGTGTCTCTGTTTGTGTGTGTGGTGGTCGGCAGGAGGTGACAAGCTGTTCGGCGCGTCGCTCAAAGCCCTCTATGACTGCGGCAAGGCTTTTGACTACACGTTGATAGGCGCGATGCCCGGCAGAAGCCTATTCTTCCTCCACCAAAGCGTTATCGACGCCCGGCCGCCGTCATTAGAGTTATTCAAGGAGGCCACATGTCTCGACGTCGGGAACTCTACTGTGGACAACGACAACACACTGGTCGATTATGGCGTGTATGAGAAGACTGGCAGCTATGATGAGGCCAGGAAGGCTGCTGAGAAGGTGCCCAGGTTGGTCTTGGAGACATGTGGCTTTCGGCTTGTGCCGTCGTGACATACTTACTCTTTCGACTTCTTTCGACTTGTTTGTCATGTCTATGAAAATCTCACGCACTCGTCCGCTCACACTGGTTGGTTTTTTGGTCTGTCTAGTCACATCCAATTTGTCGAGTGTCTGCTGCACTGCAGCTCTCCTAGGCAGCTATCTAGATGGCTGGCCGTGCTGGACTAGAAAAGTACAGAAGTGGTGCATGTGCCACAGATCTGACAGAAGTGGTGCATGTGCCACAGATCTAGATGTGTCGATAGACAGACAGACAGGGGTCTCTCGCAGATTGGGAGAACGCAATGTCAGAGAGCTCGGCGGACGGACAGAGAGAGGACGGACGGAGAGAGAGAGAAAGACAGATCGAGGAAAGACAAGACAGGCAGGCAGGCGCACACAGCCCTCAAAACTCATAGGGATGATCACCGATCGGCATTGAGAGGGAGGGAGGCACGTGGCTAGGATACACACATGTACACGGACACTCTTACACTTGCCAAGTTATGCACACAGAGGCTCCAGCTGCTCTCTTAACTGATGTACATATCTATCTCCATCTGTGCTCTCGCCCGTCTCTCTGACTGACATAGCCCGCGGAAGGAAACAAAGAAACAAAGAGAGAGAGATGCCCAAGCAAAGCAGCGCCCGCCCACAAAACCTGTCCCCTATGTCCCTGTCCCCTATGTCCCTGTCTCTATCTCTCCATCTCTATGTCTCTCTACCACTATGTACAGCACCCCCCCCCCCCCCCC